GGACGTAGTCATCTTTCGCCGCGGCGACCGGTGTTTTACTTGGTCGGAGGCTGAGACGCACGCTGTCCGGACTGTGATTGCCGGATCCACGCGAACGCCGCGGTGGCGGAGGCGGGGGGTTCTGGAGCGAGGCACGCTTAACTGAGGGACTGGGCGAGGCTGCCCGCCCGGACTCCCTGGGGATCCACGGGGTGGAGGAGTCGTCAATCTGTAGTGAAAGTCGGTTCGAGGAGGACGAGGACGAGGACGGCACTGACTCCTCGGATGGCGTGCTGGCCAGGCGGGGATCTCGTGTTCGGGTGGGGTGCAAGGACCACGAGCTCGGACTCGCGAGCGGGATGGTCACGGAAGGAGCTGCAGCTGCAGCTGCTGCAGGGTCTGCTTCTGGCGGTATAGAGAGTCGTACCGGATTCACTTTAGCGGATGTGGTTTTCGACCGCCGCATCTGACTGTGTCGGCGGCTTAATGGAGGGGTCGGAGGCCGCTTGGATTGCGACTGGCTCCGACGAAGCACATCGACTGGGGCTGACTGGCTGGAACGGCTCGTCTCCACGCCAGAGAAGTAGTCCGTCGCCGGTTGAGCTGGACGGGGTGAGAACGATGGTTCTGAGGGGGTACCACGGAGGGAGAATCGGTTAGAGGATTGACCGGGAGTGGTTTGGGAGTGAGAAGATGTTGCGCCCGGACTAGGATTGATGAGCCGTCCGTGGTGACTTTTTGGCGGCGGAGGGGGCGGCACTCGGTCTCGATTTACGGCACGGCTGGCAAGCGGACGAGGACGAGAGTCGGATGATGAAGGCGTTCCCAGCTCTGCCCGGCCTGCTGACCGCAGGGATGATTGAGAGACATCGGCTGTACTGCTGCCAGAAGTGCGGGTGTCTCCGGTCGAGGCGAGGGACACAGAAGACCCCGTTCGTCCCATTGGGTAAGCATTCTCTTGCGATGAGGCCATAGGCCGACGTTGCGTTTGATAGTCCTTGGTGCTGATTGTCTGCGTAACCGCAGCGGTTGGCTGCACGGGCGGTGACCTTGCCGACAGCGAAGGGTGTGAGTCTAGGGGATCGACAATTGACCCGTCAATATCTTGATCGTCTTCATGGTCATCATTTTCCTGGTCACTGGCGAAAGAAGGCTGGTGGAAGGGATCTGTATCGGATTGATCATCGGACGATGCGGAGTCGACGAGTTCGGGCGGATGCGTGGAGGTTGAGAAGCTGTGGAAGCTGTTCGACCCCGGAAACGATAAAGGTTCAGGCACGGAAACGCGAGATTCTGGGCTGTAGGGAATTGAGGCTGTCTTGTTGGATTGAGGGGAGAAAGTGGGATCTAAGATGCGGTTGAGTCAGCAACAACAACAATCACTCAATCAATCTAGTCAATGGATAAGAGAGATGTGCCTCGCCCAGGCTGCGATGAATGAATGCATGAAAGCAATCCGGAACCGTCGGAAGAGACTCACTCGCGGGCTGCCTAGGGCGGAAAGGATTGGATCCAGACATCGCGAAGGAGGAAGTGGAGAGCAGCACTGACCATGAGAGAGGGGAGGAAGGGAAGGGAGAAAGTAAGAGCATGAAAAGTCTAGAAAGTCCAGAGGTATAGAGATATCGAAGTGAGTGAGAGTGGGGGGGGGAGATGGGGAGTGGGAGGGGGGAAGGGAAGGGAAGGGAGAGAGAGAGAGAGAGAGAGAGAGAGAGAGAGATCACAGAGACAGAGACGGACAACGAAGACCATCCCATCCCATCCATTCATTCATCCCGGATTTCCCGCGCGGCTTCCACAACCCATCAGCAAAAGTAAACACTCGCCAGAATGCAAGTATTGTACTGTACTGTGTCATAGGTCCATGAGTAATTGTGTACACTATACGAGCTCAAACACTGGGTTGTGTCTTCTTTATTGTAAGTAGTAGGTTATCTAGTACAGTAAGTAACGTTGTCGTTAATTGTGATGCTCATTCTACCCCTTCCCAAAGGACCATTGAACCGGTTTCAACAATATCTGACAAATGAAAATAAAAAAAAAAAAAAACCAACAATGATGCCCATGGTTATGAGTATAATAAAATCCAATGGAGGTATATATGTTACAATGAAGAGAATAAATAAGAACATAAGAAAAACAAACACATAAGCATGCAAAAGACCAACCACAAAAAGCCGAACAAACCCCCTCCCAATAGAACACCGTCAGTTGTACAGTACAGGCAGGAAGTAGTAGTTGTTAATAAATGGTCATCATCACAGTATCGGCTTTCTTCAAGGTCAATGCCCGAGAAAGCAGGGTATCAACACGCCCGTGTATCAAGAAGACAAGTCAAAAAAATAAAATAGAGAGGTAATTTCCATCCGGTGGCAGGCTGCCTGCCCCCAGAGGTCACGGCCGTTGTTCAATCGAGGATTCATTGCTCGTCATACACGTGCCACTCATCGTTCCCGAAGAAGGACTGCGCCAGACCTTTGCCACTCGCGGTCGGCTGGCTGAAGGCAATCTGTTCCTTGGGGATTTCCATGCCGTAGATGAAGTTACTCACCACACAATCCAATAAATCCATAGCAATTCCCTTGTGACGCGAGGCTTCTGAAGTCCAAATCCGAGAGATTCCCACGATAGCCGGGTGGTGTTCGTCGCGAAACGTGACCGAGGAGTCGATGGTGCCTGGGGCGGGGGCAGAAGATTTCTGTATCGGTCGAGATTCCCAAATCCGCTCGGTCAAACAGGCCCCCACGCAGCGACTATCCTTCATGTGTAAGAAGACCTTGTAGCGATCAATCTTCTCCGTCGTGCCATTTTTGCGTAGATGAATCGGTGGCTCCGTCTGGCTCCATAAAACTTCGTCTTCAATGAGGGGGGACGAAAGCTCCTTGCAAATGACCTCAAGCACCTTCTTGGCCTGATTCTTTGCCGTCGGGGATGCTTTGCGATCGACAATGACCACATATCCTTCGTCAAAGCGAGTGGCTTCATAAACCCAACGGGATGCGTTGGCGCGCATGAATGCCTTGCCCAGATCCACCCCAGTCGAGTTCATTTCATGGAATTTTTTATGCGTAGCTGAGTCCTCCGCATTTGAGGGCACGTATTCCATACCGCAGGTCGCACAGGTTCGCCGCACCTCACAGCCCACATCGATCTGCATCTGCTTCAAAGCGCTCGGTTGTTGCGATTGCGGTGTCGCTGGTGTTGACGTCGGGGTCGTCGATGTCGTCGTTATCGCGGCGACGGTCGTCTTCTTCTTTGGGGGATCCATCGAGGCACGCACACTATTGGAGTTGACCTCAGTTAGAGGCGTGCTGTTACCGGCAGCATCTTTGGTGGCAGTGTGCTTGCGTTTGAGGAAAGCAAAGGTCGGTTTCCGCGTATTGGCGGGCGGGGGGCTTAAACGTGGCGGGGGCGACGATGGGGGTGTCGACAGATCATCATCCTGAGTTCCTTCAGAGAGTACGACTGAGTTGCGACGTGAAGGACTGGATAACACGGCAGCGGACGATTCTCGGATGGCATATTGAATACTATTCTCCGCCTCGTCCGAGTCGGAGCCAGATAACGCGACGCGTCTTTTTTTGGCGGCGGGTCCCTGGTCATCGTCATAGACGCGCCACAGCGGACGCCCGTAAGTTTTCATCATGAGACCTCTGGAGGAGCGCGCGATCGCGTCAGTGAGGCAGACATTGGATTTTTTGAAGAAGAGGAACTCACCGCTTGAATGAATTTGTCACAGTCCACGGCATCTCCCTGGATTAAGTCGAGCGACACACTCAAGCGAGGTAAATCATTTATGGCGTTTGTAAAGGAGGCAGGATCACTTGTGTTGAAAGGGAGGGATAAAGCTAGAGATGGAAGGGAGAGGGTGGGGGCACAAGCTATAGGGAGAAAGGTAGAGGGGGAAGATCTTTCAGACAAGAAGAGTAAGGAGAGAACGGTGAAGAAACCAGTATTTTGCAATGGCGAGGGCAGTGATAAAGAAATTATGAATCCCACTCAACAGTCTCAGGAAAGAGAGAGTAGGCTAATCGAGAGAAGGGAAATGGGGGGGGTTTTTTTTTTCAAGGTTAAGTCAAGGGAAGTGGAAGCAAGAGATAGAATAGATGATGGAAGCAGGCGGCGGCGGCGGCGATGATGATGATGGAAATACCGTATGGCAATAATAATAATTATTCGGTGATCGACGGAAACGCGTGAGGTCACTAGTCCCCATTCGGTCATATTACTTCTAGAAGAGAAAAACGACTGGGCAGGACTGGGAATAAATTAACGCCTTTCCTCATTCCGCTCTTTCATTGCTTCAATTGACTGATTCATTCATTATTCATTCTCCATCAACCCACCCTCAGGAAACTACTCGGGTCGGACAGGCCAAGTAGACTCAACAACGAAAGATCCAGAAATGGCTGGTAATAAGCACTGCTTGAGATTTCCTCCAACATCGTATTGTATATCATCATCATTATGATCATGATCACCAGCATAGTACACATGTACTCCCATACAGCATAACTGATCCCATTGGCATTCCCCCGGTGGCGTTGCTCAGGCTGCGTCAAAAAGACGGCTGTTCCTCCCCTGATTCGACCCAATCAAGCGCCAGCGTCTCCGACAGCAGGTGTTACAAGTGGAACAATAGGCCCCCGGGATCTGCCTTTTGTTCGCCTTACAACAGGCTGATGATTACCTTTCCGAAGTCTTCATAGGCAGGGCCAGCCTGCTTGCTGTTGCTGTTGCTGTTGCTGCTGTTGCTGCTGTTGCTGCTGTCGTTGTCTCACCATCATCATCATCATCATCATCATCATCATCATCATCATCATCATCATCATCATCATCATCATCATCATTATCATCATATCATTATTGCTATCATCATCATTTCTTCTTCTTCACCATGGTCGTCGTCACCTCGCACCTCCTGTCTATCGGCAACAAACTACCGACTTAACACGGACCATCATCCCCTTCCTCCTCCTCCCCCCCCCCCCCCCCTCCCCCCCTATTTACTCCCATGATACTGGATCCTAAGTGCGACCACTATGAAGAGTTAGGTGTCACTCTGTAGACAGGCAAAGAGTCAATCAGAGTCAACCAAACCCCGTAAGATGTGACTCGTCCCAACCAAGCTCCTGTGGGGTGACAGCTCCTTTCCTTTCTCAGCTCCCAAGTCATTGAGCCAGTGTCTTCCTGCTTGCCTCAGGAATTCTATTTATGCCCCCTGGAATTCTTCCTGGAAAGAATAGAATTCAGGAGGTACTGTCTCCGTACTATGTAGAACAACCAGCCCAGTGCATGCATGCCTAAGAGACCATCCGTTCGGCCTCTTCTCGCTTTGCCAGCCTCGCCCTTGCTGGCTACCTACCTTTCCTGATTGTTCGGAGCGAGCTCGTGTACAGGCCAGTCCATCCACCTGCTTTTGCCCGCAGAGATAGCTAGGTATGTGACATGATCACATTCTTCTCTGCTGGGAAACAAACCTGCTGGGTAGGTAACCTCAGACCCCTTCGGATTCTGTTCACTGGATGCGGAGGGCGACACACCTGCACCGCACACATGGAATTGCCTTGGAAGAACGGCATCAACAGCTGCAATCCAGAAACCTAGTCGGCAGTAGGAACGCTTTTCATTCATCCACGGCCTCCTCCCCAGCATTCCTCGCGGCTATGGGGTAGAGTCTGGCGGGTGCTGGGAACTTGGATTTGGACCGTCTACTGCTGCGCGGCATGATAAGGGATCTCTACCCCGCCTGATCGGCATGGTCCTCAAGCCAAAGGTCCGTCCGTAAAAGCATCTACAGCAGATAGAGTGAGTAGTTGGGGTCCGGGAGTCCGCAGCTGTGATGAACGGAAAACATGAAAGGATTCGACCGGAGCTGCTTGCGACCGGGGGTCCGGATGGGACCCCAATGGGAAATCGGGCGAGGTGCGACCGGGACTGAGACTTTGACCACAGTATCAGGTCGGTTTCCACTGGCTGACACCCGACTTTCTCGTGGGTTACACCTCGAATCATGATCACGTTACGAGGTTGCTCCCGCTGCACCGGGGCATGGACCAGGGCAGCTGTCACCCACCGGAGAATCCAGTAGAAACCTTGAGGCTTTCTCACGTCAGATCTGAAGGAAGCAATTTATGGGCAAGTTAACTAGTATGGCATAAACCACACGTAGTCACATCTTGCCATTGTACCGTAACTCCAAACAGTGAGATGACAAGGAATTGACCATGAATTGGTACCTGAGGCCATCCGCTGCTATCGATAACAGATCATGTATATTCCGGTAGCACGCCATCCCGCCGACCAAGGATGGAGATGGTACTGTACTCATAGATAACAACTGGAATCTGCAGAAAGTCACCCACCACCGTAGTAGCCTGTTAAGGACTATCGGAGCATTCGGGATTTAACAATGGATCAAGCAGCAAAAGAACGGGCGGAGGGAGAATGTCTCCGATCATACTGCCTTTGTAGTAGTAACTTGCTGGCAAAAAGGTTCCGGGGGGCCTGGACCGGCGCTTCCTGATTGGGGCGGAAAGCCAAACTCTGCGTCTCTTAGTGACCTTTTTTTTTCTTCCTTCTTTCTTTCAACTCCTCCTGCTACTGCTTCTGCTACGACTGTTGCTGTTGCTGTTGCGGTTGTGGTTGCGGTTTCGGTTTCTTCAACTATTAGTTCTTTTTCAAATCCTCCTCCTCCTCCTTCTCCTTCTCTTCTCACGGAATTTTTCGTTATACCGTATAACGACTTCGCCTCCCTCCCCTCTCCTCCGTCCCACTCATTTCCATATCTACAATTGTTCTATAATATCAAACGCGCCGTTGTTTGATTCTCGCCTTCTTGCTGCTCTCTCACCTATTTGACCGACCACTTCTCTTGCGTGCCCCCGTCGTGCTGCCTTCTCCAGGGGATTGTGGCTGCATCAAGATCAGCAACCAGGGAATAATTCTACACCAGCTTCTACCTCGTTCGGGTCAGCTGTGCTTTGAAGAATCCCACTCCGGCGCTCGTGTCTTTTAAAAACTCCGTCTGCGCATTAAAATCCTCTCTTCATCTCGGGTTCTTTTCTTTTTCCCCAGTCGGCTTATTTATACTTTCTGTCTTGCACCCCCGACAGACAATCAGTCTCGCTTCCGTCAAGAGTTATTTTTTTTTATTCTTCAACTGTCATCATGTCGGACGCCTCTCTTCAAAACGCCGGCAAGAGAAAGCGCGCCAGTATGTATACCAATTTCCTCTTCCGAGGCTGAGGCTGGTCCCTGGGTGATGGAAGGGTTCACACGCCCGCCGCCTTAGCTTTCTCTCTTCCACCTCATCTCTGTTTGCTTTTCCCCCCCTCTTCCCCTCATTTTTCGCGCCGACCGCCATCATTGTCAGCACCGTCCCTGTCAAGCACCGACGATCATCCGATCGCTTGGGTCAGCCTTCTCTGACTACCCTAATCGCTATTCTTTTTCCCCTTCTTTGTCGCCTACCATTCTATCTCTCGATCGAAGACTCGGGTTCTTCGTTCGTGGTCTTTTCGCTTCTCTGTCCTCTCGCTACCGTCGCCTTATCTCCAGTATGGCCGCTAATCCGAATCAACTGCCAGGGACCCAGTCTTGCCCTCCGCCTGAACTGCCTCAGCTCGTCGCAGAGCAACATGTTCCGATTCCCGCTCATGATAAGGACACTCAGCGTCTGATCGTCGTCCTCTCCCATGCCAGCTTGGAAACCTACCGCGCTTCTAGCGGTCGCAATGGCTCGAGTCGCGACGAGAAGTATTCGCTCCTCAACAGCGATGAGCATATTGGTGTCATGCGCAAGATGAACCGGGATATTAGTGAGGCTCGTCCAGACATAACACATCAGGTTGCTACCCGTCCTCTTACCCTCTTTTTAAAATCGCAAAGCATCTGACGTATTTGCCCCATTAGTGTCTGCTTACCCTGCTCGACTCCCCCGTGAACAAGGCTGGCAAGCTCCAAATCTTCATCCATACCGCCAAAGGTGTCTTGATCGAAGTCAACCCCTCTGTCCGCATTCCCCGTACCTTCAAGCGTTTTGCTGGCTTGATGGTGCAACTTCTGCACCGTCTGTCCATCCGCTCCACCAACTCCCAGGAGAAGCTCCTCAAGGTCATCAAAAACCCCATCACCGATCACCTGCCGCCCAACTGCCGTAAAGTGACCCTGAGTTTCGAGGCTCCCGTCGTTCGGACCCGCGACTATATCGAGTCCCTCGGCCCCAAGGAGAGTGTCTGTATCTTTGTGGGTGCCATGGCCAAGGGTCACGATGACTTCGCCGATTCCTTCAAGGACGACACGATCAGTATCAGCAATTACAGTCTGAGTGCCAGTGTGGCCTGTAGCAAGTTCTGTCATGCCGCCGAGGAGGTGTGGGACATCGTCTGAGCCCAGCGCCCGGAATGTTCCCTTCCTTTGTCCGAAAATCGGCCCCAGATCGACGAGGTGACGAATTTCCTTGCGTGAATGCGGGGGTAGATGCGGGGTTGGATCGCGAGCTGGAGGGTGTTCGGGTGCCGATCGGGGACGAAGACCTGCCATTCCTTGCTGTGTTGCTTGCTCTTGACCTGGGTGGATTTTGCATCGCCTGCTAGCTCTTGCATGTCTTGGTGTCTTTGTTCCGTGTGCTTCTCGCTTCGCTGCCGCATCGGCTACATGCCCGATGGAGGCCGATGTGATAGTCGAACCCAACCCAATGATCCCACATGACTTGGACCTCTCTCGTAACGCTTTCCTTTTCTCTGGCAGCTTCCTGGTCGGCGGGCCGGCAATGGGATTCTTGCCGCGGACCCTCGGCCACAATCGCTCTGCGCATCTTTCTGCACCGGGGATCCGCCGATCCGACTGTCCCTTGCGAGACACTATCTATACTTTAACCTTGCCTCTCTCGCTCGCTCTGTGTGTGTACCCTACTTGTGAATGTGTGGCCAAGCTGGGGATAACCCGGTGGCTCTTGACTTCCCTGAGCCCAAGCCCTGTCCTATACCCGTGGATTTTGTCAGCACACAATCTCCGGACACCAATTACCTACACACATATGGCGATCAAAAGAAAAAAAATCAAATGAATATCTCCATGGCTTTCAGTTGCAGTTTGTATATCAGGAGAACTATGGACTAGTCAGGGGAGAGAATCTGCATTGCCTCCTCAACGGACTAGGTGTTGGCTGAATCCTCGTCTAGTTCACGCGGATTTGATAGAGGCTCTTGACGTCCCGGTGACCCGATGAGCCGTAGCCGGTAGATAGTAGATGAGTGAGTGCAAAGGGAAATCCGCAGGCGTTAGAATGAGCCGGGGGATGAGATCATTACTAGTGAAGATAAGAGAAATCGTAGGAGAGGGAAGAAGAGATGGTTCGGGACCACACTGCATGGTGACGAAGGAGGGAGGGAAGGGAGGGAGGAAGAACGAAGAGCGAGTAGAGAGGGCCTGGAAGATAGGATGCAGTTGGCTGACCCGAGACTCTATCCCTCAACTGACTGCCTGGGATGCCTATGGTTTCTATGGTTTCTATGATCTCTAACGACTTACTATACTGTACGGGTACTGTACCTCCCGGCAGCTGGTGGAGGTATCTCACTCCTTCCTAATCAGGCAATTATTCACCTGGGGGTCAGTCTACATGCTCCTACTCAATAGCAGGTACTGTACCTATGCGAGTATATATAGGTAGGTAGTTCCGACTGACTGTACGTACTCAGTTACTCCTTCTCTCCTTATCCCAAACTACAGCTCCATCTCCATACTCGCTCGAGCCACCCTTCCTTTCTTCCTTTTTTGTTCTTTTCTTTTTCTCTACCCTAGTTGCCTCTCAATTATCATTGACAGTTCTATTGGATTGATTTGTGCGCGGGTGGCTGGAAACGGAGTCGCCTGTTCAACGTGGCATGCAGACATGCCAGCAGCAAAGTGGATCGCCCGCCTTTCCTCGCCATGGCCCCGCCATCTAGTCTAGGTACGGAGAGTCCTGGACTGGGAGTCTGAGATGGAGTACTCCGTACTCCTGAGCCCTCAGACCATACCAGAATCATCGAAGGGCTATGACATCCTGAGGATCACTGACTGCCTGACTGACTGACTGACTGACTGACTTCCCTGTCGCCGCCAGCTGCCGGATATCGGCCCCCAGCATGGTTTGCCGACCTGGTGAGGTGTTCTTGATTCTTGATATGCACGTCAATGCTTTGACGATCACCCCTCCTCACACTCTCCGGTGCGCCGAGCTTGTTCTAGGAGTACTCCGTAGTCGGATGGGGTAACAATCCAGGCTAGCTATGAGATGAGGAAAATTGCCTCTTTGCCTCCCTCCTTTTCCTGAGTCTTCCCCCCTCCCCCCCCGACTCTCAATCTCCGACAGTCGCCTGGATCTATAATCTTCTTGGTTGCATGATTCGCCACGCATAGGCACCTAGGCCGCAGAAATTTCGAATCACGGGATAATTCGATAAAGAGGGGCATTTTCTGGCGGTCAGATCACACCGTCCATTGATTAGTAGCAGCAGCAGCAGACGTGCCCGAAGCAGGAACCAACGAGACAAACCATCGATCCAGCAGGCTGCCCCTCAGTGGCTCCCCAGACTGGCTCTTTGCTGTCATGCCTGACCGTCATTCGTTGCTGGCTCGTTCTGAGTGACCCCCGGCGATTTGGTTCTGAAATCAAGAGGCCCAATGCCAGGCCCTGACTGAGCGAAGAATCCTCTCTGCAGCGTCTGAGTTCGGTTGCTGTTGACTCTCCCTGCATGGGCGACACCCTTCATCGCGGTTTCAGCATCTCTCCCTTTTGGGACATGGCCATGCTCCACTCCTGCCAATCCCTATCGTCCACCTCGTTCAAGGACCCTCTCGCCTCACCCAACTTTCTTTTCTGACATGATGCCGTTGTTTGCACCTGGCTCCGGCGCTTTCCCCACCGTTTCCTGATAGGCGCCCCGTCCGCCATGGGCAGGGCCACCTACCGCACCGTCCGCCGGCCTCCCCCACGGTGACCTGGCGGTCCCTCTGAGCAAGTTCCCCTCGTCGCTAGCTTCGATCTAGCTTCACCGAAAGAGTATCCGCCATGGGCCCTCTGGGGAGGGGCGAAGACCTACCGATAGGAGTCAGCGCTGCCCTGACGGGGACTTGATGCCTCGTGGACTCACTGGGCAGTCAGTATTGTCTGGACGCCATGCGAATGGATGCAGGCCAACCTGCGAAAGTCGGCCCGATTTCCTCTGGTTGGAACAACTGGCTTTATTCGCACGATAATTTTATCTTGGTCTGGCAGTGGCTTCTGACCGCTCGTGATTGGATCCCAGTTGGGCATTCTGCGTGATTCCTCCCTGAATCCTAACGGAGGGCCGACATTTTGCCTTGAAATAGTGCTGCTTCTCGCCTGGTCTTTTCGTTTCTCCTTCCCTTTCATGATCTCATCTACCTCAATCTCTCCTGGCAGCGTGTATATAATCCTTCCTCACGTCGCTTGACTCACGTTAACGCTGCAGTCACCTCACCCAGGAATTCCTCTCACTGGGGAACTGGCACTCCATCGTTGTATATACTTATGCCCAATCCCCCCCTTGCTTCGCAACCTTTCCGGAGACTTACCAATTCTAACACGTGTGCCATTTGATGCTCACGGAGAATTGCCTCCAGTGAGCCAATCACCGCCATCATGCCTCTTTCCCATCTTACCTTGACCGTTTCCCACCTTCCCACCTCCACATCCTTCTTCCTTTCCTGCTTACAACCGCTCGGCTATCAATTTATTGGCCGCCATGATGACTACATTGGTTTCGGTCAGAAGCAGGGAGAGCCCGCTGATTTCTGGATAACCGAACAAAAGCCAGGGTGAGTTATTGGTTAATGCACCATGGGAAGCGTTGGGCGACGACTAACCAAGCTCTACAGAGTTCCAGCCGGTGCAGCACATGTCGCCTTTCCGGCGACGTCCAAAGATGCAGTAGGAACATTCTTCATCAGTGCGCTTAAGGCTGGTGGCAAGATCCATGGAGAGCCCAAAATGCGCGACTCAGAGTCTGGCTACTACAGCGCCGCGGTGATCGACTTTGACGGTAACAGTATTGAGGCTGTCTACCGACCCAGCAGTTCCTCAGCTAGGTCCGAGGTCAAGTCAGTAGTCAAGTCGGAGATCAGCCGGCCAGCTTTGGCCTTGTTGGAGGACGGATCTGTCGTCTCAAAGGCGAGCAGCAGAGCCAGCTCAGTCAAAACCGAAAGTATTGCCCCGCCTCGATCGGAAGCCCGGTCAGAAGCTCGGTCGTACGTGTCGAAGACAAATACTGCCATCGAGAGAGCGGTGCCTCTCGAGCGAGGCGCCCCGTCAATGGTGAGTCGGGATCATTACCAGGTGCCGCGCGATATTCAACCGGCTCCGTCGCCGACCTATATTGTACACCACACGACACATACAATGCAGAAGACAGACAATGACAAAACAGCCAAGACGATTGTTGGCACTCTCATCGGAGCCGCAGCGGGTGCGGCCTTGGCTTATGCCATCGCCAAAGGAGACTCGACTGAATCTACTGAAACCAATTCCGCGCCTTCCCAGTTTTCTCCTAGGGATATTGTTCAGCTCCTCTCCCCGTCCCAAGCCTCTTCTCAGACGCAAGAGTATCCCAACTTCAAGGCCATCGAGGCAGGCCCGGCCCGGAGTACTTACTCCGCGCGGTCTGATGGCCGGCCGATGCTCACTCGTAGCGTGACGTCGAAGAACCCGCGTGCAAGCACTATTTATGAAGGAACGGAGTTTGTACCCCGCGGCAGCGGCGGCAGTGTGTATCTCGATGAGAACGGGCGCCGAGCCTCGGAAGGAAGCGTTTACAGTACCCGGGACATTCCCCTACGCGCAATCGAGTACGGGCAGCCGGACTCCCAATCTCGAGGCTATGAAAGCACTTTGATCAGCAGTTTCCCCGATAAGTCGCGGGCGATGGACCGGGAAAGCGTCTACTCGGCGTCGACCATCAAACCCTCCAAGGGCAACTATCAAGAATCCCACCATGGCTCTCACCGGTCATCTCACTCCCACCACTCTACACCCCGCACTCTCCCGCCAGGGAGCACAGTCTCATCCGTTCGCTCTGCGCGCCAAGTCCCTATTCCGGAGGGCTCCTCCATCGGGTCCCTTGCTTCCTACCGCAGCGGGGCTAAATCAGGTGTCTCGGCCCGCGAAGTGCCTCTCCCCGAGAGTGTTATCGACCTTGACGTTCGGAGCAACGTGACTCCTGACGATTCGATCAGCCAAGTGGATGACTCCCGGCGCTCATCCTACTCCCACAAGTCCCATGTCTCCAAGGCCGCTGGGTCCCGCGTCTCGAAACACTCTAGCAAGTTTGACGAGCCTGTCAGGCCGAGTGACAGTGTCAGCCAAGTCTCCAGCAATGTCTCCCAGCGGACCATGAAGGCGGGCGGTGGTGGCGGAAGCATCGCCCCTTCCAAGGCAGCTTCCAAGATGAGCAGTCGTCGGGGCAGTAGCCAGGTTGCGTAAACGCATCATCTCTTGGGAATCCATCTCTTATTTGTCATCTGTCTTTTGGCCTGCTGTCATTTCTCTCTTACGATAATTACCTTACTGCTTGATCCAGGCCGGGGGTTTCTTTCCCCTCGCGCGTGGTCTGCGCTATACAACACCAGTTGACAGTTATTGAATTGCCTGCATCCCTTCAGACATGTACCTTAGCAATGTGAGGCTTGATTCTATTTTGCTTGCTACATATATGGGGCATATACACAACACACATACATCTGTGCGCATCACATTGGGGCGTTTTGATCTTTTCTGGTTGTGGTTTTTTGCTACGGGCATGGCGATAAATGGAATCATACAGCTTGGCTTTTCTTTTTAGGTTTTCCTATATGTAAACGGATATAAGCGAAGAGATGAACTATAGCTCTGCTTTGGTAGTTTGCCTCGGAGATCTCACCGCACAAAGGTTCTTAATTCGTGTAAGTCACGTGTCAAGTGATTACACACTGCCACCCCACGTGCCAACCAGTGCAACTAGGGCATGGACGGCACGCTGGCTGCTAGAAGCCTTTTACGAAGAAAGTCTCGAGTCACCAGGTTTGGATTTGCTTGGCTCCTGAATGCACTATCTGATACAAACCAAACCCACCACTAGCAACCTCATCATGTCGTCCATCGGCCTTCCGTCTCCCCCTTCACCATACTTCGACCGTCACGACCAACCTCGAACCATCCTTCCCACGTCCACCACCACCACCCCCCCCCGCCCCCCCCGACCCGAGGAAAACAGCCTAGGGTTTAATGTTCAACATTGTAGCATGGGATCCGACTCCATTCAGGAAAAATAAAAAAATGCCATGAATGCATAATGAGAATTGGTCATAATGATCGTTGAATATGACATTTCCCGCCAAGAGAAAGTGTAATAAGGGGTTTGAGGTAAAGGGGAATCAGACGCGCAAACTGAAAACAGAGAAAGGATCTACGATCACGGTACGCCAGGCTTCGGATCTGATCTAACGATTTGGAAAGAAGACGCAGAAGCGAGTGGGAAGACCAAGGTGGCCGTGGAAACTTGAATTGCGAAGATCAGATAGCGTATTTGCGAGTCCATTCACGCGCGGTCGCCTCGTACCGAGGGCGGTCGGTCTTGTACACGTGAGCAATCTCGGGCACCAACGGATCGTCAGGGTTGGGGTCGGTGAGCATCGAGCAAATCGAAAGTAGCACTGCGGAAGGGATTAGTGGGTGTGAGGACCGATAGGGGGCGCAACGGGGAAAGACGAACCCTTGGAGATCGTAAGAGCAGGGCTCCATTGGTCTCTGAGAATGTCAAGACAGATGCTGCCGTTCGAATTGATGTTGGGGTGGTAGATGCGGGTGGTGAAATTGACCTTCGGGGGCTTGAATGGGTAGTCGGTGGGGAAGTGAATGTTCAAGAAGAAAACGCCTCCCGAGTATGGGGAGTCACCCTGGCAGAGGCTGCGTTAGTAAACATGTGGGACAGCCATAAGAATAACATCCTTTCAGTACGGGCGTAGGTGATCCCCCGGTCTCGAAAGGAGCCAAGACAGACCCGACCGTGTCGTGCATCCAAGGATAGATTTTAGGAGACTCACAGGACCCATGATAGTTGCTTGCCAGTGGAACTAAGCGCGTAGAGAAAGATTTCAGTCAGCAAAATTGTCCACCCAAAAACTGCGGAGGCCGGACAGGCGACATGAACGGTCTGCGTTGTTGAGCAGCCCCGCCGCGGTCGGCGTGAGGGGGCGAAGCGACCGTGTTGGGACATCAGGCACGCGGGAGGGGATGAGAGCATACCAGGTCATCTCCGGTAGGACCAGCAGAGCAGGAAGAGGGGGGGTCCCTATAATGCGAGAATAACACTAGGTTAGCCTATGCTGCAGTGTGAAATCATCACCAAGTCTAGCGATTATGTTGATGGATGAGGTGTGGCATAGTAGGGCAAATGACTGGAAGAGCGCCCCGCGGCTGTGGTGGGGGTGTGAGGCGCCCGGGGGCCATCATAATGGCGGCATTCGAATGACGAGGATAGACCCGAGGAAAGAAGATGTTGAGGAAGCGCTTACCGGCCGAGATCAGTGAGTTCCTTGTTGATACGCTTGAGAGCCATGTTGTGATCTGGAAAAGAGTGGAGGAAAGACCCCTGAATGAAGCGTCGAAAGAGGGGAGGGGGAGAGAAAGGCGGGTATTGAATTTGAAGGTGGGAAAACTGCTTAAGCACCAACACAGTCAGTAAAAGGAGACAGGGTCAACAGTCGAGGAGAACGAGTTCACAAGAAAAAGAAGGGAAAGAAGGTAGATATAAGAACAGAGAGTATATAGGAGAAATTAAATCCAGTCAAATAGAGGAGAGGTATTTTGGTAGGGTAAGGTTGGGTGTTGGCAAAGAGGAGGGGCAGGAAAGACTCACTCAGACGGGTTTGATTACGTCGGGAAGACGAGGAAAGAGGGAAGGAAGAGAGAAGAGGAAGAAAGGAAGAGAGAGAGAGAGAGAGAGAGAGACTAAGAGAAGGAAAAAGAGGGAGAGGGGAAAGAGAGAGGGAAGGAAGGAAGGAAGAAGAAAAGGCGGGTGTGGCCCACTTTCCGTTACCATACGGTAATTACCAACCAATTTCTCATCCTCACCTCAGCCGACCGCTGAGTCAGCCGTCAGTGTTGGTGGTTGATTGCTAAGAGCTGCAATCAGCCACAGACTCACCTCATACAAAGCCCTGCCGTGTACCGTGCATGTATGTATGTAGATACTGTACTGTACTGTACTGTACATGATTCATTGTATAGTATAGTATGCTTACATCGTAGACTGTACAGTACTGTATGTACTGTACAAGCAGCACGCCTCATCAGCCCATAATATGCAATCAATAACTATCAATAACTTCAATCTCTGTCTCGCCTACTCCAGCAACATCACATCCAAGCCTATGTACCGATGTACAGTACTACCCCTCGATATGGAAAAGACCAGGGCTGTGGGGGTCGAGTCATCGAAAGTGGGGATTCCCACTCCTCATCGACCAAATCATGGTTATTTCCAGCCACGTTTTGTCAGGTTCGTCCCAATCCGGGTTTTTTCTTCTTGGGATCTTTGAATTTTCCTGCATCTTGCCACTTCTTTTTTGTTCCCTCCTGTTTGTTTCATTAATGGTTTCCGAAACATACTCATACTCGAGGAGTATGTCATCCCGCATTCTACGGGGTACTCATTTCATACTACTCCCATGTGACCTAACTTCGATAGTCTTGCAGACAGTCAGTCAGTAACTTGAAGGTACTGTACTGTAGAATAGAACTACAGTACTCGATACACAACTAAGCCCCCTCCCATCAGATTGAGCAGCCTTACTTACGGCCAAGAGCAGGCAACTGAACTCCCAGGTAACTGGTAATCCTCTTTCCTTAACCACGTCGGCTCGAACCCTTTGGGCTTGAATATTCCTCATGAGGTTCAGTTCACTTTGCCTCGCCTCGCCTCGCCTCGCCTCCCTCGCTCGTCATCGAATGCGGCGAAGATGTAGTGTGGCTATTCAGTGGTAGGTTCAGCCTGTGCCATCGGAACAGATACCGGTAACTTACTTCGGTCTTACATACAAGCACAGCACAAACGGCCATCCCGAACATCGGTTTGCAGAGGTCCCACGTGGCGCAGCACATGGCACGTGACTCAAGATGGCGCTTCCGGGTGTCGAGAATCGTCCGAGAAGGCTGACTACACTATGGATGTTTGAATCTTGGTTGAATTCGTGCTCGGTTACGGAATGGCTGGCTGCTTATATACATAGATGGTATGATGTGATCAGATGTGGTGGCGTGGACGGCGTACTATATGCCATCATCTGACCAGGAGATTCGCTTGTATGCTTTATATTGGAGATGCGACGGTGCTGCTCGCGCTAGACAAATGCTTGGACGCCCGTGATGGCCCGTCCAAGTATCAGGGCTATGATGATTGTAAGTATATTGAGTACGAAGACGGGGGAAGGGAGGGAATCCATACTATGAATGTCACTCTGGCCCTCGTAGGTTTGCACCACGAACAGGTTGGCAACGTGGCGGGCAATATGGTATTCATCGCTGGTCGCATTGCCGCCGAAGACCTCCTGTAGTCTGCAATGTAGGAAATAGAGGGTCAGTGGAGTCTTCGGGAGTCAAAGAGAGGGTGGACCCATACATCCGCGAGTTGGCCAAGGCACGATCACAGTTCTGTCGCTTAACCATCGAGATCATTTCAGGAGTGCACTTGCCAGCATCCTTCAACCGCGCTACTTGCGTTGCGGCCAGGGTACCGTAAGCGGCGTCCGTCGCCGCATCCGCCAGCTTCTTCTGGATCAGTTGGTACTTCGCCAACGGGTTGCCCTTGAACTGCTTCCTTTCCAGAGCATACGTTCGGGCCCGGTCCAAGCAGTCCTCAAGGGCACCCATGGCGCCAAACGCGATGCCCAACCGGGCACTGTTGAGACAGGTGAAAGGACCCGCAAGGCCCTGTACCTCCGGGAACATATTCTCCGCAGGGACAGGACAGTCGTCCATCTGGATCATGCCCGTGATCGAGGCGCGCAGAGCGGTCTTGTTCTTGATGGCGGGGGTCTCCAGCGTGCCAGGAGGGCATTTGCTGCGCTCGACGACGAACCCCCTGATTTTGCCCGTGGTTTGCAGCTTAGCCCAGACAACCATGATGTCCGAGATAGGGGAGTTGGTGATCCAGGTCTTGGTACCGGATAACAAGTAGTATCCCTTCTTAGTGGGATGTTCCCGTGCCACTGTTTCCATTGCGCCCGGGTCGGAGCCGTGGTTGGGTTCGGTGAGGCCAAAGCAGCCAGCCAACTTGCCCTTCGCCAGCTCGGGGAGGAGGCGATCCTTGAGCTCTTGCGTACCGAAGTCATGAATGGCTGTCATCGCCAGAGAGCTCTGGACCGACATCCCTGAGCGGTATCCCGAATCCACGCGTTCAACTTCCTTGGTGATCAACCCAGATGCCACGGTGCTGGCTCCTGCGCATCCGTATCCTTCGATGCTGGCGCCGAGAAGGCCGAGCTCGCCCATTTCTTCGAGGATCCTACGGTCGTAGTCCTCATTTCGGTAGGCATCTAATAGGAGCACCAATATCAGTCATGAACGCATCCCATACAATGCTACCACTGATTAGGATCACCTACCGAGTACACGAGGCAGCAGACGTTCCTGGCAGTACTGCCGGGCGGTATCTTGAATTGCCAACTCCTCCTCAGTATACAGTTCGGACGCAACCAGAGGGTCTTCCCAGTTAAAAGTCGCATATCCACGCTTCGAATTGGCGAGCGAAGCGGCAGTTGCAGGTGCTGCGTATAGGCGGTTTGCCGCCCGGAGGTGGCGCGAGGCCGTGCGGAGAACGGACGGGTTCATCTTCGAGAAGAAATCCGATGGGAGGAAAAGTGTGAAACTTGGAAGAGCAGTCTATAAAAGTATTCTATCACCTGGGTATTCAATTGATCAGTTTCAAATGCGGTCGAAGGAGAGGCGTGGGAATGCATCGACGTCCCCAAGGGTTGAGGGGAAAGGAGGAATCTCTCTTACTGAGCCGGAAGAAGCGTTGCGGGGAGACGGCTCTCAAAACGCAGCCTCGGTAAATCCCGTCGGAAGTGTTGTACTCAATGTATGTATGTTGATTTGTGGAGCACGGAAGAGCACAATGACCCAACAACCTGAATAGATTGGAAGCAATTAGAGAATGCCGGACTGGACAGAAGCCAATCCTCCATTTTTAAATGGCATATTCCTTGTCTTCTGGGGGTAACAAAGCAAATGCTTGAACCTCGAACCGATCGAGCCGCGGAGGAGCTGAACAATTTGGAAATGTAGGAACGGAGACTTCGGCTTGCCTTCCGTCCCCGTCGGCCCTTCCGTCCAATCGATAAGCTCACCCCGGAATGTCGATAGGGAAGACCTGCCTACAGCCGAGTACTTTACCCTCAGGGCTGTGCTTAGTGCCTCATACCTACCTCATTACTAGGTAGGTATGTACAATTAGCACCTCATAGCACCCTTACGTCTTCTGCTATATAGATAGATTTCTATTTCTAGAAGCACCCCATTCTCACATCCTTACACCCCCTCCCCCACACCAGACTCCACATAATAACATATAATCGTAGTCATTGCATGCGTCCTGCGCAATTCGTCTCCTGTCGTTATCGTTATGCTCTATGTATATAACAGCTTTAAGCAGGCATCTGAGATTGAAGAAAATCGAAGACTCCGGTTGGGAAATACTCCTCGTCAAAACCCCACAAATCAGCCATCATCGGATCGACCGAGCCCTCCCACAGTCCAACCTCTTGCTTCTCGTGTCCGGTAATGGACTCGGAACTATTTCCCCTCTCTGCTGAGAGAGGTGCTACCCCCAACAAGGCCGGTGAGTGGTTGAGAATCGTTTCCCGTCCACCCAGAGCTTGCGGTCCAGGGGCGACAACAGGTTTGGGCAAGGAGGTATTGTCCTGAGGGTTTTGTCCCGAGGACAGGGTGTTATTGCCGGTTCTCTTCTCCCATTCCTCCAAGCCCGTAAGCATCTTTTTCAAGCCACGGGCAATGTGATGACTAAGATGATGCTCACTGGCGCGTTTGCTGCACGAGACCATCATGTCAATGATCCGGCTAACCAGCGCACGAACATACCCGACCTCGATGAGCAAGCCGGCCGAGGCGATGGAATTTTGCTGGCCCGTAGCCCCCGTGGCACTACCTGAGCAGCCCTTCGCAGCGATCTTCAACAAAAATACAGCCGCGAAAGTGATCATACTGTGAAGGTAGAGCGGAACCCCCACCAAGGCCCTTTCGATATCGGGCTCATCAAGGACGACCCGAAGCGTGTCGATAGCGGATCGTATGGCTATACTCGCTCGGTGTTTCCGCTCATTGGACATGGGCCGTGTTGAGCCGGACGAATGATAGGTTCGCAAAGCCACCGAATTGAGCTGCAAGCGGGAGAAATGGTAGTGTAGGTAGACCGCTTTATAGGGATACTTCCCGACATATCGACTCCCCACTGTGTTGTCTGTATTAGCGCATTGTGTCAGCGAGCATAGACAGCAGCAACATACCTAAACGAGGAATCCAGGAAGATTGCCAATCCGCAAGAGCAGCATCGAATTTATCAATCTCGGAGAATTCGCTATCAGGAACCTCCAAGTCAACGTCAGGACCAAAGGCGTGGTAAATGTGGGTGAGGATGATGAACAAGTCAACCTGGCTATGCAGGCGCAGGTCCCCTTGTTGCGTGTTCGGGGATTGTATGAATATGTTGTGGTTCTTTATGCTCAAGTCTTCGTGTATAATGGGAGGCCGCCCATAGGCGATGGAAAAATGATGTTCTAGGGTCTAAGGAGGTCAGTAAGAGGACACAACTCATCGTCGGTGCCGGGCAGCGGGAGAATTCCACAACATACATATAAGAGATACCATAACCGTGCTTGCTCTATATGTTCCGGAGAGCCTTGTGTGGCTTTTCTATACGATTGATGCAGGTTGTGCTCGGTTGCAATGCGAACGGCATAACCAGATAGCTTCCAGCTCACGTCGGCAAGCCAAAAGGCCCCTATACAGAGGGCGCGTAGATCATCCAACGTATGATGTCTATCTAGCATAGATTCTGATGCTAGTTTAGCGAATTCGGTGTAGCAGATCTCAAACACTCGCTCTTTGCTCGGCATGTGAAGAGCTGTCACGGCAAGAATGGCAGCAGAGAGCATTGAGGAAGAATTGCGCACTGAGGTTAGTTCCTTGTGGTTCAGCAATATACCATCCCATAGATAGCGACTAAGTACTTGATCAAAATGAGCGAATAGTTCCTCTGCTTCTTGTTTGTCCACGATTCCCCTTGATATAAAATCTGTGACAAGGGCCCGATCCGATGCATGGTGTCTCCCAGGAGACGTGGTTTGAATATCGCTCAGCTGAGTCACCTCGTACAAGCTTCCCATAGGAGCAGTGACTAGGGACGATGTTCCGTTCTCTTCTCTGTCGAGGGAATACTGCGGCGGTCGGTGAGTGGTGGTGCTGGGTGCACTATTCTCAGTCATTGCGGCGTGCGCAGGCTCGGTGGGCTTGGTTCCCCCGCTATGGTTGCTTGTCGGAAGCAGCGCATCTTCTATAGATGCCATAGAGTCGTTGCGATCCCTCGTCTTCGACGGTGGTTCGGCTGACTTGCTGATCGCTTGATAGTAGGATAGTTCGGGGAGTCGAGCTTTGCGAAGCAAGTCCGCCATCGCAAGCTCCATTGCTGCCTTCCATCTTTGCGTAATGCACAAAATCGTCAGCGACTCGATGTGATTCAAAGTCATAGGGCATGCAGGAGGGTTTAATTACTCTGTCTCATCGTCTAGCAATGTTTGAAGACTTTTATTGACCACACATTCTAATCCCATCCGGCGACATCGATGACATGCCACTTCCCCCTCATTCATGTCACATCGAACCTTGTGCCGCTTGCACTCTGTGCAGGCGCGGATTCGGCGCGAGATCTTGGGAACATGCTTTGGACTCTGCCGTGAGTCGTGTTCGGGGGTGCGGTGGGATGCCATATCCTGAGGGGAGATAGCTGACGGACTATCGCAATTGGCCTCGAAAAGATGACGACTTCGCTTCATGGCGGCAACAGAAGCATCGTCTTCAAAACATTAAAATCGACCAAAAATGCGCAATTAGGTGAACATATGGCTGGTTGCGATGCGAATGGATTCACAGCCACTACTGTGATAAGATTCAAGGCGGAGAAGGGAAGAGGGGCTTGCCGCTTGGCATGGCAGCTTTGGGTCGGCAATAAGTACGGGGGTAGCGGCGTACGGAAGTACAATAAGTACGGAGAGGGAGGGGAAGGTTCCTAAGGTTGTGTGGTTTGCAGGAGCTGTACAGCAGCAAAAGTGGCAGCAAGCAGCAATGGCAGGCAGGCACAAGTCAATCAAGTCAATCAGCCACTGCTCATTAATATTTCATTCCGAGGCCTAGTCTACTAGTAGTTTAGTAGTCTAGGCCGTGGAGCCCGGCTTATGTAAGAGAACTCCGGGGACGGGGAACTGCCCGAGTCTCCGCTCTAGTCCCGATTAGGTCTAATTATGACGCACGGCGCGTTCGACCTCTCCCAGACCGCGTTTTTTTGTCGCGGCCCGCAAGAACTGCCCTCCATCTGCTTCATCCTATTTATTCTTTCCCCCCTCCCCCCCCCTTTCTCGCAAGGCAAAGCTCTTTCGTCGCATCGCATATCCATAGTCTTTTCCAAGCGTACCCAGATCAGGAATATCCGTCATGGGTATTAAAAGTGAGTCGCGCTGTTTCCCACCTTGCCAATTCCGAATCGACAACTGCACACCCGCATGAGCTCAGCAATGCTAATCTCCGCTCACCATCAGACCTCTTTTCGGTCATCTCGGAAGAAGCCCCTGATGCCGTAAAGACGGGGGAGATCAAAAACCACTTTGGCCGCAAGGTCGCTATAGTATGTCCAGTCCCCAATTGAACCCCCGCTTTTGTCAATTAGCTAGCTGCATCTGTGCTTGTAAGCAGGACTAACCACTATCTGATATTGCAGGATGCGTATGCTATCCCTAGACCCGGCTCGGTCTTCAAATCCCTTCGTGACTAATGCCAGTTCAGGTCCATGAGTATCTACAGCTTCCTCATCGCTGTCCGCTCCGATGGTCAGCAGCTCATGAATGAGACCGGGGAGACCACATCACACCTGATGGGAATGTTCTATCGCACGCTAAGAATGGTCGACAATGGCATCAAACCTCTATACGTCTTTGATGGCGCTCCGCCAAAGCTCAAATCGGGAGAATTGGCCAAACGTTTTGCCCGGAGAGGCGAGGCGACGGAAGCGCACGAGGAGGCCAAGGAGACGGGTACTGCAGAGGACGTGGAGAAATTCTCTCGTCGTACGGTACGAGTCACCAGGGAACACAATGAAGAGTGCAAGAAGCTCCTGAAGTTGATGGGTATCCCGTACATTGACGCCCCGACGGAGGCCGAGGCACAATGCGCTGTGCTTGCCCGTGCTGGCAAGGTCTATGCTGCCGCTTCAGAAGATATGGACACGCTGTGCTTCGAAACACCCATCCTCCTGCGCCACTTGACATTTAGTGAGCAGAGAAAGGAGCCTATCCAGGAGATTCACCTAAGCCGTGCGCTGGAGGGACTTGGCATGGATCGCGCGCAGGTATATATCCTACACAGTCCTCCATGATCACTCTGCACTTGCTTACCCTTCCACCAGTTCATCGACCTCTGTATCCTACTCGGCTGCGACTACCTGGAACCCATCCCCAAGGTGGGTCCGAACACGGCACTGAAGCTGATTCGGGAGCACGGGACTCTTGAGAAGGTGGTTGAGTTCATCCAGAACGACCCCAAGAAGAAATATGTCATCCCCGATGATTGGCCATATCAGGATGCCAGAGAGCTCTTCCTCAATCCCGACGTAAGGGACTCCAACCACCCCGACTGCGACTTTAAGTGGGAAGCGCCCGACGTAGAGGCCCTTGTGAAAT